ATGTTTTTATGATGTGATCGATGGATATTTTCATCATTTTTAAACATTTAAATGTTTGACTTGCCTATGATTCCTCTTAGTGTGAGGATGGGAAGAGGGTTCAAATTGTTCCTCAGAAAACCATAGCAATAGTTTTTCTGTTAATCAGAAATCCTTCATGGGGGCTGGAGAGACAGCTCGGGGGTTAAGAACACTGGCTGCTCTTCCAGAGGTCCTAAGTTCAATTCCCAGCAACCACATGGTAGCTCATAACCATCTGTAAAGAGATCTGGTACCCTTTTCTGGTGTGCAAGCAGAACACTGTATACTTAATAATAAATAAATAAAAATGTAAAAAATCTTAAAAAAGAAATCCTTCATGGAAATATTATTAATTTTGATATTCGGGTATTTCCTATTTAATTCTATTGTTTTTATTCTAATGCTATGACTAGTGTCTTTAGTTTTAGAGTTCATTGATGAAGTTGAAAACCTGTTAAGAAAAGGCTTTGTTGTCATTATAGTGTTGGTACTTCTTCTGGTTGTCTTTGGAATCATTTTTGCCATATTCCAAAATAAAAGACAAAACGAAAACACTCAGCCTATTTCTTCTCCTTCCCTCTCTTCCCTTCCCCTCCCTTCTGCTCCCCTCATTTCTTTTCCTTTCCCCCTCCCCTATTCTCTTCTTCCTTCCCCTTTCTGTCTTTGTGTGTGTGTGTGTGTGTGTGTGTGTGTGTGTGTGTGTGTGTGTGTGTGTGTGTGTGTGCCGTGCCTGAGGGGTCAAATCTAGACCTTGTACATGCCAGACAAGCACTCTAGCACTAAGCTACATTCCAGTCATTCAGTCATTGTTTTTGAGACAGAATCTGTGTACCTCAGGTTGGCTTCAAACTCATGATCCCCTTTCTCCACCACAGGAATGCTGGGATTTGTAGATGTGTGCCACCATACCCAGTTCATTTCCTGTGCTTTTCTATGGAATACCTGTGTATGTATTTTCAATACCTCAATATTTATCATTCTCAAACTTGCCTGTTTATAAATTTTAGCATCCAGTATTAATTCTAGGACTTAGATTTTAAAGATACATGTCTATATATTGTCGAAAAGATTAGCTGCTGCATTTTGGTAGGGGTCAGCTGAGTTTGAAAATAAATTGACTCTTTTCTACTTAGTGGAAAGTCTTCCCAGACCCTGGCACTGAGCTGAGAGATGCTCTGTTTTTGTATGCTTGTCTTTGCAAGGTGTGCCAAGTGCATTAAATAAACAAGGCAAACAGTATGCCCTACCACCTGTCATTGCTATTTTTTGTCAGACTAAACTGTATCAGTGATCCTGCTACTTTTATTTAATTCTGACTGTATCCCTTTTATGATAATCAAATGTCAATTGCCCAAGGCCAGGGATGGAAAAGTACTGCAGAGTGTACCTAGGGGTTTTTGAAGTAAAAGACTGGGTAATTTATATTTTAATATAAGTGATTTAGAGCCCACAGCTTTGATCCAATTAAGTCGAGAATCGAATTAGCTGGAGATAAAATGAAGATGGAATGAAGGGAAGTCTTCCTGGCTCTTGAGTTTTCTAAAAGAGGCTTGCTGGAATGCAGAAGTTCTCACCCTTGGCTGCACACTGCTATTACTTGGGAAACTCTTACCAGTACAGATGGCCAGGACCCAGCCCCGTAGACTTCAGTGTAATTGGTGTACTGATCATTCCAGGTATCAGAAAATTTAAATCTCTCCACATGGTTTTAATAGGCTCTTGTGGTTGAAAATGACATAGCTCTTAATTATCAGTGAGCTAAATGTTAACTAGGAAACTAATCTAAAAATGGAGACTCCAGAGCTGTAGCTCGGTATCTCTTGGTACTAGAATCAAGTTCCGGGATCTGTGTTCCTAACACACATCCACATGATGTGTTACACTACATGAGATGTGGCTCTCTGACCACAATGGAAATTTATTGTGTAAATGTCTTTTCCCAGTTTGAAACATTCCCTGGCTGCTCAGTGTGGAGCAGATACTCTTTAGAGGCACTCCCAGGTGCTCTCCTGATCCAGCCATTAGCCATCATCTTGACTTTCTCAGATAGCCCAGTCCAATTACTTCCTATGTGCATGCCTGCTTTCCAGAATTGACTTGTGCCCTCTTTCAGAGTGTTTGTGCAAGTATTCACCTCTACCTTCAAAGGCCCTTGCTACCTTTATCCAACCACATTCTTGCCTTCCAGGAGTTAGAATGCTCTGACTTCTGGTCATTTCATGTTGAAACCATTCACACTTTCCTCTGTGTGCCTTATGCTACCCACTTACATATCATTCTTATTTTGCTTGGTTTGATTGATTCTGAGGTGCAGAAAGATGAACTGATCACATTTCTCTACAGATGACATGCAGTGTCTCCAATGATTGATACCAGGCCCCTTTAACATGCTTCTATGAATGTGTATGTGCTGTTGCAGTTTGAATCTTTATATAACCTGAAGACTCGTGGTCTGAGTATCTGATGCTATTTTGAAAGCTGTAGAGCTTTTAGGAAGTGGGATTTGATAGTCAGAAGCAGGTGGCTAAGGGTGGGCCTTTGAAGGTTGTGTCTACCTTTGGTCCCAGCTTGCACCCTTCACTTTTAGGTCAGCCATGACATGAACACCCACTCTGTCTCACGATACTGCTGTCCCTGAGGGATGTGCTCTGTCCTCCTTCCAGCCCAATGGAATGAAATACTTCTGAGATTAGGAGCAAAACATGAATCTTTCCTTCAGGTTGTTCCTATCATGACTTTGGTAGCACTACATGAAAGTAACTAACACAGCCCTTCTCTTGAAGCAAGTCATGCTTGGGGCTGGGGAGATGGACTCATGACTCAAAGCACCTGGTTTGGTTCCCAGAAAGGATATGGTGGCTTACAAGCAGCTATAATTCCAGTTTCAGGGATCCAGCACCCTCTTTTGGCCTCCTGGGGTACCACACATTCACGTGGCGCACAGACATACATGAAGGCAAAACACCCAGACACATAAAGATAATAAAAGAGAAGTCATGCTGTCTTGTGTGTCAACACTTTAATTTTATGCAAATGCTTTTTTGTTTTACCCTCCTCTTTCTTTTTCACCTCATCTTGTTTATGATCTGTGCCCACTGATGAAATTAAATCAAATTCATTGCTTCTGTCTGTCACACAGTATTCCTTAGGGGTCATTTACCAGAACATCTTATGTTTCTGGTTCTCTTTTCATGGATGCCCAATTTGCCTATAAGTCTCAGCTGTCACAAGAGACCACCCTAAATATTCTCTTACACAGCCATGGGTAGATTAATGTGATCCCTACCCCCACCTCCTGAAATACAAACCAATGTATGGGAATCCCTCGATTCAGGACAGAATGCTCTCTGGCTGGTTGTGTAGTCAGACCTCTCTTTTAGTCTCAGGTGCTTACCTCCTAGAACCTGGGATTTCTTGGGAGGAACTATGCTCCCTTAAATTACTCTGGCAAGGGAAGACGTGACTTTGATTCAAGACATCACAGTAAAAGCGTTGTTATGATATTGGGGTTGTAAGAGAATCAACGGAATGGCTTTGAGCTATTCATGTATGCACTAGAATAATATGTATGAGTAAGTTTACCATATATATTACTTACTGAAGAGATTATCAAGTGTTTGCAAACTAATGGCAATGGTATTTGTTTTCACAAGTGGAAATGAGAGAACCAAAGATTTTTTTTCTGTCCAAAAAAAGAAAGTGATGTAGAAAGCATGCTAACTACAGCTGATTATGCTAACTTTATGACCTCAAAAACATTCAATTGGAGATTTAAAAATATTTATTTATTTATTTATTTATGTGCGTGAGTGTGTGTATGAGTATGCCTGCAGGTGGGCATGTGCCATGGAACTCCTATAGAGGTCAGATATCTCACAGGAGTTGGTTCTTTCCTTCCACCATATGGGTTCCAGGGATGGAACTCAGGTCACTAGACTGGGCAGAAAGCACAACAAACAATAACAACAACAAAACCCACCACGGAGCCATCTCTCTGGCCTCTCAATTGGAGATTTCTGCTGTTGTAGACCATTCTAAAGTTAATACAGAAGACATTAGAGAGGAGGGGGTGTGCTTCTCAGGCCTTGCTATTGAAGCGTGAGGTCCTTGCAAACAGCATGGAAAAAATAATGACATCGTTACACTCGTGAACTCCTGGTACAGAACCTTCTGTACTACACAGTACACACACCCCATCCGGTCCATACCAACTTTCATTAAACAAACAAACAAAACTGCCAAGGCTTAGAGAATTGAAGTAATTAAGTTTCAAATCATACAATTAATAAACAGCAAAGCTAGTATTTGAATCTAATGGTTTATTGTTTTAAGTGCCAGATGTTTGGCTCATAGCACAGAAAGAAACTTATGTTTAGAACTGTGTGGACTAAGTTGGACCTCTTGTTTTGTCTCTATCTTGCCAGCTGTCCCATGATGGATAAATTATTGAACATGCCCAGAATCTAATTTTTTTAAGACACGAATGAAAATGAACACACTATGTGACATGTATCACGGGCTTAGTAAATGTCTTCTTCTTTATCAAGTTCTTCTCTCTACTTCAGGCACAGATTAGGTACTCATATTGAATAAGTGCTGAAAGTTTTCTGTTATTACCAGAAGTTTCACAGTTTAACAGTAGGACCAAGATCTAAGAAAGGGTGGGATCATGTATTTAAGAGAAAGGGAAACAAAAAGGATGCCTTTGATAAGCCAAAGGCAAAGCTGGTTTATTTTGGGTATCCCTGAAGGTGGCCCTGTGGGTTACCTGACTGATCTCTGGAGATGGAGAAAGTAAGACATGGCCGGCCGGACAATCAGAAAGTAACTCCATTTGCCTCTCCCCCTGCCTCAAGCAGGGAATGTAGTGGGTCCATACAGCTAAGAACCAGTGTAAACTCTCTCAGGAAACTGCCGGAGGGGAAATGAATTAACCCCTGCCAAGGCTTCCCGGCTGGGGGACAGGAATTAAGCTGTCATTTCTCCTGGAGGCTTGGATCAGCTTTTCTTTGGCTGGCTCCAACTTCTGAAAGAACAGCCGACTGCCCTCCCCTCCGGGCTGCCCTCAGACAGAGAGTGGGGCTCCAAGCAGGTAAGAGGGGCATTCCCTTTCTTGGGTAGAATTGTGCAGCCCCTGCTGCTTGTTTCCAGGGTTGGAAACTCAGTAGAAACCTCTTCCAGGGGGTGCAGCAGCAGCTACCCGTAGCTAAAATAATGCGATTTGCGGAGGCCTTGAGAAAGTAGCTTCAGCTGTGCACACCAAGGAAACTGTTGGGTTTTTGGGATCCTCTGGCATCTCAGCCATTGTTAGCTCTCCAGAGGGAGGCTCATGCCATGTAAAATTCAAAGCTGCTGTGAGCGCCACGTTTAATGAGATCTTTCAAAGGGATAAGCTCAAATGGTCCGTCAGAACCATAATGTCAGGTGGATTTCATGGTCTAGACAGACCTGGCTCTCTGGCTCTCTCTCTCTCTCTCTCTCTCTCTCTCTCTCTCTCTCTCTCTCTCTCTCTCTCTCTCTCTCTCTCTCTCTGGCCAACAATAATAAAAATAACTTAAAGTTCTTCTGGGAAGATACTGATTTATTAATAGGAGCTCCTGGTTTTCTGCATTGATGGCCCCAGGGACTTTCAGGGCTCGGATGTGATGCCTGGCTTTTCCCTACCAAGACTCCAGAGCTCCCAGCAATCGATTCATCAACACGGGATGACAACTTCATTGTTGTTCTTTGGAAACTCTGGCTTTTCAGACACTCTCAGGGTGTCAGGCTCCGAGATGCCGTTGGGAAAGCATTCTTGTGTAGAGTAGGAAATGCGCTCGAAAAAGGCCGAATCTTTTGAAAATCAAGATATTACCCATTTCTTGCTCCCTCTTATCTATAAGAGAGTATGTCTCTTTCTGGAACTTTCTAAGGAAAAAAATCAGATGGAAATAAAAACCTTTTTTGGCTGTGTGGGACTGTGGGAGTTCATTCAGCTTGGGCAGGCCAGATGTTATCACATTTTCTGGCTTGTGGAAAGGAATTTTGCATTAATGTGTAAAACCCATGAATTTTCCAAAATTGCTATAACAAATTACTACAAGTTTGGTGGCTTAAAATAACTTCCATTTGTTCTCTTCTAGTTCTTGGGGGTAGGTGGCAACCTTCAGGTGCTGGCAGGCTGGCCGGGTTGTTTCAAGAAGGCTCCGGGGAGATTATTTCTTCACTTTCTGTAGCTTCTAGTGGCCACCCTCATTCTTGGGCTCCTGGCCTCCTCTGGTACATATCTGTGTCTGCAGTCACTTCATCTGCTTTTTAGACTGTGACCTCCTTCTTCCCTCTTCATTATGGCCAGCCTGGACTACACAGTATGACATTATCTCAAAAGAGAACACACACACACACACACACACAGAGACAGAGACAAGAGAGACAGAGAGAGACACAGAGAGACAGAGAGAGACAGAGAGAGAGACACACACACACACACACACACACACAGAGAGACAGAGCAAGCCTGCTACCATATTAGACACCACGCACAGATTTTAGGGTCAGAATGCAGCATAGTTAGTGTGGTTACCTTGCCTCCCATGCTACTCTTCCCCATTGGCTCATATAGGTCCTTTTATTCCTGTAGTCATCCTAGAAATATTGTCTGGGTGCCTTTCCATACATGCTCACAATGGATTATATGAAGGTATCCCGTTCTTCAGAAAGGGTGCTGATGACAGAACCCAGGGTTCCATGAACCAGAAGTGCTGGGCTTGGAGAAGAATGGAGCCTGGCTCCATGAAGCAGGAGTGCTGGGCCTGGTGAGGAGTGGTCCTGTGCTTCTTTGGGACTTGGGGCTGTGCTTCGTCACGCACTCATGAGTTCTACAGGGCCTCCTTGGGAACAGGTTCTGACCCTTCCCAGAGAGGAGAAACCCATGCCCCATGGTGGTCAGGTTCCGGCACAGTGCCCAGGTTTAGTTCCTGTGTTATGCCAGGCACCACATCACTGCTGGAGGTTGAGAGATGAAATGCAGCAACAACTTTTAAAGTTCCCTCACAGTCAACCTGGTAAAGCAGGTTCCTCAGACACCAATGAGCCGAGGAATCACCTGGGAGCTTATTAAAGTGAAAGCTTGAATTCAGTAGGTGTGAGGTGGGCTGGAGATTCTGTCAGTATAACACTTCAAGTAGCAAGGGTCTGGAGGGGGCAGACCATCCACAGGTTTATACTATGGCTTAAGTGCCACAAACATAGGGGAATGTACCTAGCCAAGGCTTGGGAAGAAAGGATGACTCCCCAGGGGAAATGAATGAGTCTTTAAGTTTGAATAGCAGCTTGGCAGGCAAAGATCTGAGGGGAGGGAAGGAAGCGAGACAAAACGGCACATGCAAAGGACGGAGACAATGACTATTCCAAGACCCCAGGAAGGCAAGAATAGATGCAAGATTTTGGCAGAGCTTAAGGTTGGGAGGGTAGACTCAGCTGAAGCTACGGGGTCAAGTAACATGAACCAGATCAAGGGGCACATTCTGCTCCGAGCTTAGAAGTTTGGACTTGTTAGAGTCAGGAAAGGAGAAAATCGATTCAGAGAGTGACTTCTGTCGCTACACATTCTGGGAAATGACCACATGCTTTTGATTGGTAAATGGCAGGGTACTTAAAGGAATGGAAAGCAATGTGCTTTTAAAACATAGGCTTCACCGTGTGTGTGTGTGTGTGTGTGTGTGTGTGTGTGTGTGTATGTGTGTGTGGTAGCTGAGACAGGAGGGTTGCTGTGAGTTCACGGACAGCTTGTGCTGCAAAGTGATATCCTGCCTTTAAAAATGTATGGACGTAGATATGGAGGTGTCATTCAGAGCCCATGGCATGCCAAAGGAACACACATTTGAAATCAGTCAAACCCTACTCTCTCATAGCAATGACAGGGCACAATGGAAGTTCTGGCTCCTTTGGAACTGCTGATATCTGGGTAAGGTGGGGATGACAGGGCGGGGTCTTCTTGCGAAGGAGGGAACAGCATTTCGGTTTCTGCGCTCAGCCTGTCCCCCTCCCCAGTCAGAGCAGTATCTAGTTAGCACAGAACCTGTGAAGCGGTTATAAGCTGCCTCTTTCGTCCTCATTCTCTAATTCCATTCCCACCACTCCCTCAACTGGAGTGGAAGTTATAGAAACAGACCTGGGTTTAGGTGCTAAAAGAAAACTACAGTCCTCCTGCCAGGTGGACTGATGAGACAATATTTTTTTTTCATTTTTAACATTTCCTGATGAGAAAACTAAAGCTCAGAGAATTCTACTTTTTAAGGTGGTATAGCTAGGAATTGTAAAATATAGTACTTGAACTCAGGACTGTCTGACTCCAAAGCTGACCATACAGAACGACCTGAACCAACAGCCAAAGTGTGCTCCAGTTCAGCTAGGTGGTTGTCAAAGGATGTATTCAACATACAGGGTAGTGATGTGGTCCAGACATGGTGTCTACAATCAGGGGGTACCATACATCAATCCCCATGAAGGTAGATGGTGTTATAGAAGAGCAGCTGGCCAGTTAGAATGTCCTGGTTAGAATGGACAAAATACAAAACCACTGCAGATAGGTGGTCAGAAAGCAGGAAGAGGTAGAGAGAGCAACAGACTGAATCAGAAACACTTACATGCAGAGGTACTAGATATGCGTCTCATAGATAAGGTAGGAACCAAATTTGTAAAGCTGGTCCAGTGACCAGAGGCAGATGCCAATTGTTTTAATTAACCATCTTAATTGAGGGCATAAATCATCTTCTGTTGCCAACACTGTATTCAGGCAAACTTAGATCCTAGGTAGATCTAGACATCAGACAAATGAGTATAGGCGTGTGTGTGCATGTGATCAGCTTTTTAATTTTTATTTTCCTCTCACATCTAGTGTCTTTCCTTTCCTTTCCTTTTCTGGATCTTTGTCTGGATTTTAGTCTGGACAGATCCTAGATCTCTTGATGTCGGGAGTCCTACTATTCAGAATGTACCCAATCTCATCTGACCAGAGAAACTAAACAGAGTCAGACCTAGGTAGTGCAGTGAGCTTTTTTAGGGCAAAAGCTTTGGACACTTATTCTGCATAACTGAGATTAGTACCGAATAACTTCTGTTTTACATTTTATTTTATAAAACTTGTATATATTTATCGTACATAGCATATTTTTATAATGTGTGTATTTCATGGAAGAGATAAACAGAATTAATACACATATGCTTTATCTCTTAATATTTTTGGTGATGAGAACATTTAAAATATATCACTTAGCTATTTTTAAGAATTTAACACATTGGCTTTAGCTACAGTAATGTTATGCAATACATCTCTGAACTTATTTATCCTGTCTAACTGAAATTTTATATCCTTTGAACAATATTTATACCCCCTGTCTATGTTACTTTCTACTCTTGTCCCTGCTTTTATGAATTCAACTGTTAAGTTTCAATATGTAAGGGAAATCATGCAGAATTTGTCTTTGATTTGTTTTACATAACATAATGTTGTGGTTGGTCCCTGTGGTCACAAATGACATGACTTATTTTTAAAAGGCTAAAGAATGTGTTTGTGTGCATGTGTGTATGTGCTTTCTTTATTCATCATCCAATGGGCATTTAGGTTAATTCTGTATTGTGACCTGTGAATAATGATTCAATGAACATAGGAGGGCAGGGAGTGCATGCTGATTTTATTTCCTTGAGATGTATACCCAATAGCGAGATGGTTGGATCATATGGTACTTCTATCCATGTATTTTGAGGAATCTTCATACTGTTTTCCATAATGATTGTATAATTTTCTATTTTGATTAACACTATACAAGGGTTTCCTTTCCTCCACAATTCTTTCAAATGCATTTCTTATCATTTTTGATAATACCTATTTGAACAGATGTGTAGAGATGTCGAATTGTGGTTGTAATTTGTCTTTTACTAATTACTGCTGATGTTATGCACTTCTCATGTGTTGGTATATTTTATTTTGAAAAAGTAAGTGTTCATTTCTTTAGTCCATTTTCTAATGTGGTCGTTTCCTTGGTCTTGATGCAACTGCTTTTAAACTTTTAATATCAACTCCTTACCAAATGCATGATTTGCAAATATTTT